ATAAGTGCGAGCGATGCCAAACGATCTTGATTCATTGTTGAACGCAAATAATTTTTTATCAATTTTAATCTGGAGAAAGATCTTTCTCCTTCTGCATTTGATCCAAGAATCGACAAATATATTCTTAATGCAATGTGAACGTTAGGAAAAGTATTCAGAAGTTTATCTTTAATTGCCTAGGGCCTACAAAAATTGGCTATGCCTAGGGCCTACGAAAGGTATAATCCGGCTCTGACTACTGTCATAACTGGCGGTCTTTTTAATAAAAATTTGTGTATTTCCCTGTTGCATCAATGTGACATTTTTTTGAAATTGTAATTGCTTGCAAACCATTAAAATGACCTAGATCTATAAATGTTACTTAACCCCTTGATATATCAAATTAAAACTGTAAACTGTGCAGAAATTTTGATTTCTTGATATGAAATGATCTTTGATTGCACTGTAACCAACAACTCGCAACGGAATGTTGACAGAGATGCCAACTGCTCCGGACACGCCAATATAATTTTAAAAAACGGTAAATAACTACAAACTAAATTTTTCAAATATTTGACTATTTTTGCTTGCTTTTTAAAAGGTATAGCATGACATAACTACTATAAAGTGGTGAATTATATAAGCCTGCAAATTATTTAGAAATAGTGGTGGATAAAAATCTACTAAATTGAATTTATTAAACCAAGTATCACAATTGATTAACTGCCACTTTAAAATTTGCTGACCGGAGCAAGTTGGCATCTCTTTGTTGAAGACGTCTGAGACACGTCAGTTATTGTTTTGACATTAGAAACAAATGACATCTCCCATACGTCTTCATATATCAAGGGGTTAATATCAAGATTTTAAGTTACACCTGATATCATTGCCTGGTTAGAAGAAAAATATTTTGCACAACATTTTATTTAAATTTAACTGTCATTTGTTTATGTGTCTATGTAGTTTAACATTTCAGTTAAACTAAGCATGCACATAAAACAAACTAGTTATGTATCCATTTTCTGTTTTATTTGTTTTGCCATTTGAATTTTTTTCTTAGAATAATGTGTTATTGTTATTTAAATAATATAGTGTTTAAATAATGTGTTATTGTTATTTAAATAATATTGTGTTTAAATAATGTGTTATTGTTATTTAAATAATGTGTTTAAATAATTTGTTATTTAAATAATATTGTGTTATAGATATTTGTTGACTGGTTTTCAAGAGCTTTATGCTATGAATACAAAGATGAGGGCATTATTGTGCAAAGTTTGGTTCCATCTTACATTGCTACCAACCTTGTAAAATTCAGCAGTTTTCTTCAGCGTCCCAGTTTCATAGTTCCTGATCCCGAACGCTTTGTAAAAAGTGCCATCCAGACCATCGGGGTATCAAATCGAACAACAGGATTTTGGTCACATGGAGTACAAGTAAGTTATATTTTATTTTTTTTAAATTTTTGTTTGAATAGCATAACTTTTTTTTCACTCACACTTCACAACACATTTTACCATGCATTGCTCACAAGGCTCTAATTTAGGAGTAGATTGTTTATGTATTGAAAAATTATCTGTAATTCAGTGGTAATTTTTGTTACTAATAAGTTGATATTAAACTTTCCATGATTTTTATCACTTTCAGTTTCCATTTAATTTGGGTTGAAATAATTTTATTATTTTGTTCTTTATTTCTGGTAAAAATAACTGTAGTTCTAGTATTTAACATTAAATGTGAAACATCTTGAATTCCCTTTCAATGAACTTTAGATTCAGCCTAGTGAAATATGCCTTACTTCATATTAATATTCTAAATTATATATTACATCTTCATGGGGAAATTGATATTAAGTAAAAAGGATCCATTCACAATCTTTGTAAATTTCTTCTCAAAAAGTACAATTAATTTGTCAATCATAATTCTTGTTTAAAAATTTCATTCTTTCTGTGTTTCCCTTGGGCGATTTCATTTAATCTTTCCATTTATTTGGATTTATTTATTGAAAATTGCTGACCAAAATGAAATTATTTTAAATGAATTCTTCAAATTTAATGTATTATTGTAAATGGTACTTTTATGTATATTATTATGAAATAAATTATATTATGTTTAATTATTATTTCCTAATTCTTACTGCTGTGTAGAATTGATCTGTCCAAATTAGTATAATATTTTTTTAAATTATGAATACTTATTTATGCTATTTTTGTGTACTCACCACATGTGACAATTTTCCTTTGTATGACCAAGGTCATAGTAACGAGGGTAGACTGTATAGTCTGTCTACGGTAAGAACTCCCACCGCCACTAGGTCTGATGCCATCTGCTGTTATGGAAACAAGAATAGCGCATTTCAGGGAGGGTAGCCTCTCTTCCCTCTAGGGCTAACACAACAGACCGAAGAAAAATATTCCTTTTTTTGCCGACCTCTCACCGCTTCTTGAAATAATTATACCTCGTTACCATAGTCACCGCAACGGGTCCGAACGAATGGCATGGGGAGTTCTTACTTTAGAAAAACTACACATATCTTATGTTGTTTTTGTGTCCTCTCCAAGAGTGAAATTTTATTTTTCCTTTTTATGACCAGTACCATATAAGTGAGGGTCGACTAATATGGCTGGCACTAATATCTTTCAAAGTTTAGTTATTTCTCATAGCTTGTAAAGAAAATTTCAAATTAAATTATTTTTTAAAAGCAAATAATTAAAATCATGGCTATCTTGTTTTTTGTTTTTTTAATATATACTTTATTGCTGAAGTTTTTTAGTATTTTTTTCCGCAAATTTCTAATGAAATATTTCTGTTTTAGTATTGGATGTATGAGCTTACACCAGCATTCTTGTGGTATAGAGTATCATGGTTGATGCAGAAAACTATTGATAATCATAAGAGATTGCCGAAATCTGAATGATCTTTATTTGGGTGTTATTATTATTTTTTTATACCTCATTTGGTGGCTTCCTGTGATACTTACTTTTTAGTTACTTAATGTTTTGATATGATATTTTATCATATGTTTAAAAATGTGAAATTTCTTTGTTGCTTATTGTTCATGGAGAATGGTAAATAAATGTACCTGTTATACTATTGTTTTGCATTTATTTACACTCATACACTATTTTGAGATATATTTAATAATTTTTTTGTATGTAACATTTACAAATTTGTTATTATATTATGAAAGAGTAGCTTTTTCAAAGAATAAGTTGTGTCTTAAAATATTATTTTTAATGAAAATAACTAGTCTTTGCTGATTAAAAGAAAAAGGAAATGAAGCTATTTTTTACTCATTGAAAAGAATAAATTAAATGAGTATTTAACTTGTAAAATTATTATCTTGTTATTTTTTAATAGTGAACTTAAAGGTTTGTAAAACTAATAACTAGTGAACTAAATTTATTAACAAATTTTACTTTTATAAAAAATAAAAAAAATCACAGAATTTATTGCATAATTGTAAAAAAATTAGGGAACATTCTAACTGAATCAGGTTTGATAGTTATTTTAAAATACACCAAATACATATTCCATATACATTTTTGTTTTGATGAAAGAAGTCATTAAAAAATACTGTCTGTGTAGCATTAGAAAATAAGCTTGTTTTCAAAACATTTAAATTCACAATTGTCATTTTTAACAAAAAGAGAAAGGGGGAATATCTCTACTATTTACCTTAGATTGAAACAGATTTAACCTTTTTGTCAGTTTTCATATAACTTTAGAAGATTTTGAACTGAGCGAGCTTATTGCTTAATGAGGCTTAGACATCTGTTAGTTGCCTACAGATGATCTTACTATTTGGTTGCTCATAATTTTTTTTTTACTTTAAAATTACTTTGCTTAAAATTTAAAAATTATTTGTTTTATCAGTTATGCAGTCAACAATATTCAGCTGAGCTATTATTATTTTTATTTTTTTAATATTAACAGGGTTCCTACACTATTTTGAGAAAACAATATCCTGACTTTTGCAGGTTTTTCCTGACCTTTTACAATAAAATTCCTGACCCGCCGTTTCCCACTCCAACAAAACTTTTAACATTGCAGTTTCAATTAGTTATAATATGCTACTTAGTCATAAGTATCATATATTGAATAGGATAAACACTTATATATTAAAGTTGAATTGCGTAATAGCACTTTATATCCCAAATTTTATATTCAGAAAACTTGTGAAACATATTTTTAATTATCATAATTAGATTAAACTTTTAGTGTGTTTTTGTAGTTAGATATGAAAACTATTTAAATAAAAAGATTAAGAAAACCTGTTCGATTATGGAAATATTATTTTATTTAATGTTAAGTGGAACCAAATGCATGAGTGTCGTCAGGATATAAAGGGTTAATCAAATCTGCGAGATATGTATCAAATAATATTTACTCTTAAAACATACTAGAACACTTGTTACATTAATTTTTAAAAATCACCAATTCACTTCAAACTGACTTTTCTTTTAAAAGATAATATTGAAATATAAAGGGGAAAAAGTCAAGAAAAGTTAATTATGTACCAAAAAAAGTTTAGATAGAAGAATTATGCAACTTGTGAGAAAAATCAATTCAAAACTAGCTTCTTTTTTTTCCAGTATTTTTAAATTTATTTCTGTAATACTGTAAGCTTCTGGAGAAACTCAGGGGCTCCTATGTTATATAATATTTCTCAACATATTTTGTTTGACAATTTCTGAATCAAGAACGTCCAGTTCTGTTGCAGCAGTTTTCGTCAATTTAGATTTTCTTGATTTCAAATCATCTTTTTTTTTTATTCGTTTTATAGAAATTTCAACTTTTTTATTCTTTGTTTTTTTTTTTTTTTTTTTTTTTTTTTTTTTTTTTGCTTCTAATGCATGTCTCCATATTGTTCTAGATCCTTATACAGCATCTAGCATTTTTTCATTAATGTCTATGTTTTTTATTCCATTTATAAATAAAACATAATCATACACACGCCTTTGTGAAATAGTAGTCTTCATTGAGGTTTTCAACCAATAAGCTTTTATTCATTGAAAACCCCCCTTTGACTGTTGCGTTGCCATGAGAGAGGATAAGAACAATTTTTATAACCTCCCACAAATTTTCAAATTTTTTTTCTCCGTTCAAATATTTCGAAAAAAAATTCTCATCCTTGTTGCTGTGGATTAAACTCTAAGAAACTCTTTTGCTCTTCTTTTTTTCTTGGCAGCATCACAAAACAGTAAAAATTCCTTTTTTTGCTTTTTCTGCTGTTGTTTCAGCTTCCCAATTATTAACATGGAGAATTTCCAGACAGGTATTCATCCTTTGTTGAGCGATGGATGGATGTTGAATGATCAATTCTGGAACTAAACTTGAAATGCCACGTGTCATACCATACAACAATGGACTTTTTTCGACCGTCGTCAAAAGGAATTTTCGACATTCTAACATGAAATATCCCTTTTTATTTCTCACTAATTTTTATCATGTTCAGATATTTACTTGCTGCAAAACCTATATTCACAATATTAACACTTAATAGATTGTCCTTGCTTGTTAAGTCAATACTTGTTATATTTTTTGCAGTTGTGGCATTGTCTATAACTGACTTTTTTACACAACGCCGCAAAAGATTTTGTGTTAGTTCCAATATACTGGAATTTAAGTATGGACTGTGAGGTTTGGAGGTCTGAAAATTTAAAAGAAAAGGTAGAAATTCTTCAGAAATTAGCTTAAAGAATGCTAATTTTTGTAGCATTATCGGATCCTTAACACAGTCTTCGACATTTTTTACTGAGATTCCGGCTGGCTGATTTTTTTTTCCTTCTCTTCTATGTACCTTTTTAATGTTGTCAAAAATTAATATGGCCCACTCCACACAAGGAAGATTTTCCAGCCTGCTGATTTGGCAGAACTTTTTTGGAAAAATGTTGCTACCAGATTACAGAATTTTTCCTTGAAACTTTATTTTTGCCATTCAGTCTTTGAATGAAATATAGTTTTTTTTTTATTTTCCTAACTTTATGAATATGCAAGAAAAATCCTGACTTTTTAGCTTAATTTTAGAATATCGTGACTTTTGCAGGTTTTCTTGACCGTGTAGGAACCCTGATTAAGAATAGTTATTGTGCGGACTAAACAATGTAAAAATGAAGACAAACTGGAAAAAAATCCGTATCAGAGTTTAATAATTCTTAAGCTTAGAATTTCCTTTACACATGAATATGTAAATAAGAATTGCATAGGAAAAATTGTATTCAAGTACATAGAGCATACTTTGATTAAATAAATTGCTTTTGAAAGAAGTGTGTATTCAATTAAAAAACCTATCTTTTTCTAAAATCATGTTTTACATCAATTTGTTTTTAGCAGGGTTGGGTTTTTGCCGTCAAAAACTGGTTTTTGACATGACAGTGGTAAAAACCGTGTTTTTACCGGTAAAAACCGTCAAAAACCTACTGTTTTCTTTAATTTATGGTATATAGCAGACAATATATTATTTTCACATAATTGCCTTTATAACTGAATGTTGTAAATGATTGCTATTGATTTTGCAACTATATACATGTATTCTTATAGAAGGATATACATTCATTTATAAATATTGTAATATACTTATTGAAAATAGTGATACTTACTTTTATCATTATAGCTTGATTTGCAAAGGATTCAAAATTTTGCACTTCTTAAATGTTAGAAACAAACAAACAAAAAAGCTTGGAACTAGTAATAAATTCGAAAAAAGAAGAACTTAAAATTTGGCATTTCTTAAATATTAGAAATAAGCTAAACAAAACTTTCAAAGCTTGTAACTGCTAACAAACTGTAAGTCAAGAATGACTTGACATTCTTCAGTAATGTAATATGCCAAACAAAATGATGCTTGGAAATGTTGAAAATTTTGTTTAGTATCCTAATATTTTACTTCAAATAGTATGTATTGATATAATCATGTTGGGAAAATGCAAGAAACTGTTCTTAAATAACTTTTTTTCTAATTTTATTGCCCAAAAACGAATTAATTTTATATTATAAGCAATTAAACTCAAATAAAAATACAGTTTTACCAAATTTATGGATTTTTGACGTGACAGTATAAACCGGTAAAAACCGTCATGTGTCAAAAACTTGCCAACCCTGGTTTTTAGTATTGATTCCTGAAGGTTCAATTTTTTTTTTCAAAGGCTGCATTGCACAGCAAATGGATAACATGAAAAAGTCTTTTTAGCCAAAAACTGTTTTCAACAATTTGAAAATGTGGCTGCCTATACTGTTCTTAAAAAGAGGTATGAAAAATAAAATACTTCATAAATAGTAATCAAAATATGCTAGCAACATTTTTCAATACAAGTTTATTATCAATCCTAATTTTCGTTAAATAATATTAAAATAAACTTTATCAAGTAACTTACCTGATGAGATTTTTCTTCTTGGAATGTAAGCAATATCGAGTCTTTTTGCTGTTTTTGAAAGTGGTATAAAAGTGGTTGCTTTTAAGTGTTTGATTGAATTTAAAATGTCTATAATTAATCAATTAGAACTTTTAAACAAACTACTTTTCAGCGTAAAATGGAATTATTCCATCATCTAAAAAAACAGCTGATTTTTTTTCTTTGATTTAATACTAAACTTTTATTGCACTAGGTTTTTTTTATATTATTAAAAATAGTGTAAATGTTAAACAAAAGAAAAAACTTATGACATAAAATATATTTTAGTTAAAATTTAAAAACCTATACTAATATGCTTCTGTAATATGTAGTACAAAATAACACACAATTTTAAAAAATAAGTCTTGGTTTATTTAAACTTATTATTTACATGAAATATGACTTTTCTGCAAGATTTGATCATTCAGGTAGATTTCAAATCTATGTTAAATTTCAAGGTAAAATGACTTAGCATATCAACATGGTAATAAATAGACAGTACTTACATTATGGTGCAGTCCATATTCACAAAAATAGTATATACAATATAAAATAATAAATAAGTGCCAGCACTTAATATATTGTTCATAAGTCTTTAAAAATTTTAATCAACTTCCTCAATCGTTGGTCCACCAGCAGTTGCAGTTTTTGGGCCTTGGTTAGGATTGAATGCCCCACCTCCAGCTTGGTGCATTTTTGTCATGATCGGCGACAGTTCAGCTTGCACTTCCTTCAATTTATGATCAATTTCATCTTTTTCTGCTAGTGTGTTGTTGTCTAACCACTGAATAATGTTATCACAGGTTGCCTTTACTTTGGACTTGTCAGCAGTAGACAGTTTATCCCCAGGAGCAGCATCAGCAGCCTGTTTAACCGAATAAACATAACTTTCAAGGGCATTTCGGGAAGCTACCTTCTCTCGTTGCTCAGCATCTTCTTTTTCATACTGTTTGGCTTCATTCAGCATTCTCTCAATTTCATCTTTAGACAATCTTCCCTTATCATTTGTGATAACAATGCTTTGAGATTTCCCGGAACTTTTCTCCGTGGCAGAAACATTCAGAATTCCATTTGCATCCATGTCAAATGTCACTTCAATCTGTGGCACACCTCTGGGAGCAGGCGGAATTCCAGATAGCTGGAACCTGCCGAGCAAGTGATTGTCTTTAGTCATCGCTCTCTCACCTTCGTAGACTTGAATATCGACTCCTGGCTGGTTATCAGAATATGTAGTGAAAACTTGGGATGTTTTGCATGGAATTCGAGAGTTTCTTTCAATAATTTTAGTCATCACTCCTCCAGCCGTCTCAATTCCCAAAGAAAGTGGAGCGACATCGACCAAGAGGACATCTCTGATTTTTTCATCTGTGCTTCCAGTCAATACAGCCGCCTGCACTGCAGCTCCATAGGCCACGGCTTCATCTGGATTGATAGACATGCATAGTTCTTTCCCATTGAAGAAATCTCTCAACATTTTTTGAATTTTAGGGATTCGGGTAGATCCACCAACCAAAACGACATCGTGAATACTGTTTTTGTCCATCTTAGCATCTTTTAAAGCACGCTCCACTGGTTCCAGGGTCGACCTGAAAAGGTCCATACAGAGCTCTTCGAATCTGGCTCTAGTGATTTTCGAGTAAAAGTCTATTCCTTCGAAGAGAGCGTCTATCTCAATACTTGCTTCAGAACTGCTTGAAAGTGTTCTTTTGGCTCTTTCACAGGCTGTTCTTAATCTTCTTAGTGCTCTAGGACTTGTTTTCAAATCTTTTTTATGCTTCCTTTTGAATTCCTCTACAAAATGAGCAACCATTCTATTGTCAAAGTCCTCACCTCCTAAGTGTGTATCTCCAGCAGTTGATCTGACTTCAAACAAAGACCCTTCATCAATAGTAAGAATGGAGACATCAAATGTTCCACCACCTAAATCAAATATTAGAACATTTTTTTCTCCTTTTAAGTTCTTATCCAGTCCATATGCAAGTGCAGCAGCTGTAGGCTCGTTGATAATTCTCAAAACATTTAGTCCAGCTATTCTGCCAGCATCCTTTGTAGCTTGTCGCTGGGAGTCATTGAAATATGCAGGGACTGTAATGACAGCATCAGTAATTTTCTGTCCCAAGTACATCTCTGCTGTTTCTTTCATTTTAGTCAACACCATTGCACTTATTTCTTCAGGATTAAATTGCTTGAATTCTCCTTTAAATTCAGCGCAAATTTTAGGTTTACCTCCTGCATTTTGAACTTTAAATGGCCAGTGTTTCATGTCTTGTTGGATTTTTGGATCATCAAATCTTCTTCCAATCAGACGCTTGGCATCAAAGATGGTATTTTCTGGATTTAGAGCTACTTGTGATTTAGCTGCATCACCTATCAATCGTTCAGTCTCTGTGAAGGCAACATAACTAGGAGTTGTGCGATTACCTTGATCATTGGCAATTATTTCCACATTTCCATGCTGAAATACTCCAACACAAGAGTATGTAGTACCCAAATCGATGCCGATCGCTGGTGCTTTGCTGCTTGGCATGTCGAAAAGTTCAATAGCAAGATCAACACAAACGTCGATATCACTTGAGATTCAAAAGCTTCATACAATTAAAATAAGCAATTCACAGTTCAATTAATACTTCACAATATCAGAGCAGGTCGTACACAAGAGAGATTGCCTTTTATCTCTAAGTAGTCAATGTCTCAATATCGAAACCTATTAAAGAAGCACCCGAAGAGCACTCCTATTTAAAGCTAGGAAGGAAATATCCAGAAAACTCTGGGTTTGTTGACGTTAATTCTATGGTGCTGCCATCTGTACCGAAATTTCGAGAGCATTCTAGAAGAATCCAACTGGGTAACTGACCTTTTTTTCATTGTTAATGCTGCCATCTGTAGCGAAGTTTCGAGAACATTCTAGAGAATCGAACTAAAATAATTACCTTTTCTGAAGACTGTTATTCATAGTTCTCGGGGTGATTTAAAAATTGGATTCAGCTTTTCAAATGATATAAAGGATGAAAAAAAAAAATAGACATGACATTTCAGTTACGATAAAAACTTATGAAAAGTTTTCTAAGCTGCAAAAATTTTTATATAGTTGCATACTGATACTAACATCTTTCTGATCAATCACTGTGAAATTTTAGTTTCAAAGATTTATCATTCTTAAAATTTTTATGGTAATCCAAGAAATAATATTATATAGAGAATATCTTACTGAGAAAGAAATTTGCTTCCAAATTAATGTTTCCACAGCTTCAAATTGTTATTTTGTTTGTAATGAATTACATTTATTTGTTAATATTTTATTAAATTAAAATAACATTTAACTGTCACATTACATCACATTTAATTGTTATTGCATGATACATTCTTTTACTCATAGTATAGTAGTAATTAGCTATTTATTAGCCGAAGGACGTTTTTGTTCTTTCATAATTAAAACTTTATTTAACTGAGGGATAAAAAATACTTTTATGTGAAATATATTTTTGCGTTTTCCCTCTTAAGAAAGCACTCTCAATATTAGTAATTTTTTATGAATAGATCGAGTATATAGTAGATCTCTAAAGTCAATTTAAATGTTTTAAAATTTTTAATGCCAACGCCAAAAAGTTATCGGTGAAGTTTACAAAATTAATTTTATATATATATAATTATATATATATTTTTAATATATAAACGTTAAAAGTAATTTTTATTGCAAGGTGCAAATGTCGGTTTTGCATATTCATCTTTAAAACTTTTTTTTAAAAAAACTAGGGGGATGATTAAGAAACTTGTATGTAATATATTTTTTCCGCTCAAGAGAGCATTGTTCATTTGCAATAAAATAAATAATATAACTTAGCTAACAGTGTATAAACACTATAACAGAATAACAATATATATATTGTTTATTTGTAATAAAATGTTGACAATCACATTTTTAAAAAATGGATAAAATATAATGTAGTAAAATAACCCCATCATATTGAATTTTTTTAAATTATCCTCAAAAAACATAAGTATTAAAAAATTTTCCTAAAATTAAATTTCTCTAATGTCTTTCTATAATATTAATCTATAAACGTTAAATATTTAGTAATGTTCAAATGTATGTGATGTTCTTTTATCCTGGAATATCTATTAGATCTGTTCTGATTTTATGTTTTTATGATATTCTTATATTCTATTTTATAAAATATATATTTTGGTAGCAAGCAAAAAAAAAAAAAAAAAATGTCCGTCGCTTTCTTATTTAAATTGAAGTAAAATTTAAACAAAATTATGTAGCGTGTTTCGTTGCAAGAAATGTTAGCTAATCAATAAACCCAATAATTCAACCGATTTCCCTCTTAGTAATTTATTTTGCGTTTGCATCATGCTAAATATAAGAAAAATTATTCGCTAAAAATTTTTATTCCAGAACTTTCTAGAAAAAAGCGATATTGTGTCGTGCTGTCCTCTAGTGGCAAGAATATGCTCAAAATTTTAATCATGTCGATTGATTGCTATTTTTTTTTTCGAACTTCTTGGCGACCTATCAAAAAGGCCTATCATTCTAGAAACAAAATTATTAAGATATCTATAAGCATAAATATCCAACCAATGGATATCTGCATTTTTTTAAAATTATTAATTCTTAAAACTATTAATTATCTGCATATTTTTTGAAATAATTAAACCACCGCGACGAGACAAATTTTTAAACCACCACGACGATCGTCGTGGTGGTTTAAAAATTTGTTTGAAACTTTATACTTCAAGATTTAACAGACCATAATGCTAATGTTGCTACCACTTAGAAAAATATTTCTCATTGGCCGTACAAGTTGACAGCTATGGAATTCCTTTGCAGTGGGAAAGTTTCGTGGTTTTTCCCTCCAACTAACGCAAATGGAAGTTAGTTCTATCAAGAAGCCCTTCACGAAGATTGATTTGTTCCAATGCTTGATCCAGGAGTTTCCTTATCTTTTGAGTTGGGTTCTAAATTACGGGAGTTCTGAGTTCACGGAGTTGGATAGGTAATAAACTCAGAATTGGGTTGGCTGTTCATCGCAGGGTATGAAATAAAATAATAATAAAAATGGGACTTTAAATAATTTTTATTATTCATTATTAACCGCTTTCCTGATTATCACGATAGTTACCTCGGATATGTATACATGTATAGATTGCAAATACGTGAGATATATTGCAAATATAGCATATATATTGCATATACATTGCAAATACACACATATATTGCAAATACATGAGACTTTCGTATATATTGTAAATACGTGAGATATATTGCAAATATATCATTTATATTGCAAATACATACATGTATTGCAAATACATATATATTGCAAATACATACATATATTGCAAATACATATATATTGCAAATACATGAGACTTAATAGTTCTTTTATTGTTCATTATTAACCGCTTCCCTGATTATCCCGAGTTACCTCGGGTATTGTATATATTGCAAATACATACATATATTGCAAATACATGAGACTTTCGTATATATACATGAGATATATTGCAAATATATCATATATATTGCAAATCTGCAAATACATGAGATATATAGCAAATACATGAGATATATTGCAAGTATATCATATATATTGCATATACATATGCATTGCAAATACATGAGATATATTGCAAATATATAGTACATATTGCAAATACATATATACATTGCAAATACATGAGACTTTTAATAGTTTTTTTATTGTTCATTATTAACCGCTTCCCTTATGAAAAAAAATCGAGGTATAAATGAGGTATACACGAGGTATATTTTAAAGGTATAAAGGAGGTTGTTATTTAAATACGTCGTTGAGGATGAAAAGGGTGCAAATGAATACCTCAAAACCAACGTCAAATATACCTTAAATATACCTCCAGAAGTATATATGTTTCAACTTGAGGTGTTTAATTTTACATCTAGGGAGAGGTAGGTATTTACTACTTTAAAGTGTTTCATTTTCAACCTTAGGTTATTACTTATCAGCCTGAAGTATATTTTTTTACACTTGTGGAAGTATTTATTCAACAACCAAAGGTGTGTCATTTTACACTTCAGCTTATTATAAATCAACCTCAGGTGTATTTTGTTCGACTTCAGGTAATTGTTTTTCAACCTCAGGTATATAATTCTATGCTTGTAGAGGTGTATATTTATCAACCTGTGGTGTGTCGTTTTACACTTCTGGTTTTCAAAAATCAGCCTCAAATGTATTTTGTTCTACCTCAGGTAATTATTTTTCAACCTCAGGTACATAATTTTATGCTTGTAGAGGTATATATTTTTGAACCTAAGGTGGGCCATTTTACACTTCTGGTTGTTATAAATCAACCTGAAGTGTATTTTCAACACTTGGAAAGGTTATTTTTTATTAGCGCCATGTGTTCCATGTTCTACCTTAAGTTATTATTACGTAACCTCAAGTATATATTTTTCTATTTTTAGAAGTATTAATTTATCAGCCAAAGATGCGACATTTTACACTTCAGGTTTATGTATCTCAATTTAAATCTGTTTTTTTAGCACTTACGAAGGTGAGGTGTTATACGGACCACCTAGTTTATTAATTTTTAGACTCACTATATAAAAAATATAATATATATAAAGATATTATTTATATTACATGAGGAATAATGTATGTCATTATATTTTTTTCACTAGTAGTGATAATTTATCAACCTGAAATTTTTAATATTAGACCTTCGGCAGTAATTGCTTCTTTTGTTAAGCTATAAAAAAAGTTTCAAATGCATAATTCTTTTATAATTTTGACAGATTGATTTAAATCATCTTAAAATAACACTTATCCAAATTCTACAGTTAGTAAAAATTATTTATGGGAACTCATACTCGTATTTTTAGAAGATAGTTGTCTAAGGTGCTTGAATTTTTAAAGCTATAAAACTACAAATTTAAATAATTAGTCAGCTGAAATTCAAAGTACTACTTTTATTTAAAACTAAAATGTCATTTTTTTACAAACCAACAAAATTATTTTAATTACTGCTTCCGTCTACATGTTGAAACTTGTAATTATTGGAACCTAAAAGAAAAAAAAATGAATTAGTAAGAAAGTCATATTTACAATACTAGTGGTAGGTTTTAAAATATTAGAAATTGCTTTTTTTATGATTAAAATTAACTGGATGATATTAATTTTCTTTTTCAGATAAATAGTATTACTCTTCTGCTATTTCAATTAAATCCTCGTAGCTAAAAAGCATGATATGTATCACAGCCACAAAATAAAATACACTGAAGATAGTATAACCATTAACAACATTCACAGAAATTGAAATATACAGGGTGTTTATAAAGTCCCGGACCCATTTTGATGTTTAATAACTCATAAAATAATAAAGATAGATTAAAATTAATAACATAAATGGTTAGATAGACTCAAAAAGTTTCATGACCCTTGTCAATGAACTTCCACGTGTGCCCCCTTCGTCGCACGGAGAATATCAAGTCGATAGTCAATTTCACGCCAGGTAGCGGCAAGCATGTCGGCATCCACAGAGGGTATTGCGGTTGTAATTCTGGCTTTTAGGTCATCAATGTTCGACACGATCCTCCTGTAAACATTGTCCTTTATAAATCCCCAAAGAAAAAAGTCCAGTGGCGTTATATCAGGTGATCTGGGTGGCCAAGGGATTGGTCCTCCTCGCCCAATCCATCTTTCTGGAAAATGGTCATTCAAAGAACTACGAACGATGATACCCCAAAGAGGTGGTGCACCATCTTGTTGCAAAAAAACATGTAGCTGA